AAAGTCTTGAAAAGTATTTCTTTATGAACTATTTTGTCAAATTTGGGGTCTATTTTATTTATTGACATATGAGTCCGGAAAAGTACTTTTTACTGGCTATTGTATTACTTTTTAGACTACTTTGTTCAATTTACGGATAATTTTAGAAAAAAAAACGGTTTTTTTGAAATTATGTAAAAATTTTATTTTTTGCGGACTATTTTGGATTACTTTACAGACTATTCTGTCTATATTTTTTAATATTATTTTTTTTTAAACAAGTCAAACTTTCCCCGAGACGTTAATAAATCCTCCCTGAAAATGATGTGTAAAGTTTGTCAAATTTCAACTTTGAGGCTGTTTCTAATGAAGTGCGCCCCTGGTGCACCACTTCGTTGGGCTTAATTAAATCATTCGGGTTTTTCCCCCAAATTGGTGCACTTTGGAGCGACTCTTTCATTGGCTGAAAGGATGTTCCAGAATCTAAATGCATAGGAAAGTTTTATCAACATAATTTATTTAAATTGTCACGCCAGCTGGAATAATAGCCAATTTTCTAATTTGGCTCAATAACAATTCAGTTTTTAAATTTTGATAAGCGACTTTATAGGTCAGGACCCTCTTGCGTCCTTGACCATTCACCACTTCTCTTATTCTTCAGTCCGTGGAGCGAATTATTCAATTAGGAGCCCCTTTTGTGTCTCATCTCTATAAAAGCGGGCAATTTTGTCGAATATTTCAGTCAGATTGTGCAAAATGTTGGCGCGGTTTTTGGGTTTAGCGGTGATAATTGGGGCGGCTTTTACTTATCCTAATGAGCCCAAAGCGACCAAATATACCGAAAAGCCCATTATTGCGACGCCACTGGGGCAAGTGCAAGGGGCCATCTTGGCCTCCAGGGCGGGGAAACCCATTTTTTCCTTCAGGGGGATTAGATATGCCAAGGCTCCCATCGACGACTTGAGGTTCAAGGTAAAAATTTAAAAAAATGTTTTTTTTTAAATTGGAGAATTTTTTTGAGTTTGGATTTTTTTAAGTTAACTAGCACTAAAATTTATTTTAATTCACTTACAATTTGTCTTTAATTTAGAAATTTTGATTAAGTTTTCTGACTGTCTTTAAATTTAATCTCTAATATATATTTTTTTGAGTTTTTTTAGCATCAAATGTATTTTCTGAAAGCTTTTTAGTTTTTCCAACTGTTTTGCAGTTCAATATTTTTTTAACAATATTTCTTAATTTTTTTAAATGTCTTGTTTTTTAGCTCAAAATTGTGAAAAGTCCTACTGATATTTAATTAAATTGAATAATTTTTTGGGTTTGTTTTTGATATATTGCCTAGAAAATATTTTAAACAAGTTTTTCTAGATAGTTTTTAGTTTTCCTAACTATTTATGCCGTTTGATATTTTTGAAAAGTTTTTCCTAAATTTTTACAGAATAATAATTTGTAAATTAAAATTTTTTTAATAAAATTTTTTGTGTTTTGTTGTAAAAGCTTGAAGAATTTTTTAAGATGGTACTTTTAAAAGTTCTGTAAYGTCAATATTATAAAATGTTTTTACTTTTCTTAAAGAAAATTCTTGACATATGTGTCCGAAAAAGTAGGTACTTCTTTATGGATAATTTTGAATTATTACTTTAGAGTTTTTTTGTTAAATATGGCTTTTTAGTTTTTTAACTGTCTTTAAATTTAATCTCTAATATATATTTTTTTATTTAATTTTTTTTTTGAGTTGTTATGCTTTGCTAGAATGGCAGAAATTTTGACTTGAAATGTATTTGCTGAAACTATCAACTTCAACTATCTTTTCCAATATTTCTTGACTTTTTTATTAAATTAAAATTTGAGAATTTCTTATTTGAGTTTTAATGTTTTTCTTTAAGTTTGTATTTTTTTGTTTTTGCAGCTCAAAATTGTGAAAAGTGACATTTCATTAAATTGAATATTTTTTTTTCGCTTTGTTTTTGCTTTTTTTGTCTAGATAATATTTTAAACAAGTTTTTCTAGATAGTTTTTAGGCTTCCTAACTTTCTTCTGCAGCTTGATATTTTTTGAAAAGCTTTACTGAAATTTGACCAAATTTTATAAATTGAAGAATTTTTTCAATTTATTTTTTTGTGTTTTCTTGTAAAACTGCAATTTTTTTAAGATGGTAATACTTTTGAAAGTTGTTTAGGATCAAATTATTACTTATATTTAGTTAAATTATTTTTTTTAAGTGATTAAGTTTAGATAATTTTTTTGGTCTCTCTAACTGTCTTTTGCAGGTTGTTTTTTTTTTGAAAATTTTTGACTAAATTATTTACAGTTTTTAAAGAAATTATGTAAAAATTCGAAATACTGTGTAACCTATATGCACACATTACGGACTATTTTGTTAAATTTGGGAACGATTTCGATTAAATTATTTTGGACTATTTTGGATAACTTTACAAACAATTTTGTTTCATTTACAGACAATTTTGTTTTATTTTTAGTTTTTTTTTGTAATTATGTAATTATGTAATTTTGTAATTATGTTATAGACTATTTTGGATTATTTTACAGACTATTTTGCTCAGTTATCGGAAACAAGACAAGTTTTTAATGATAGCAAATATTTTTTTTTAATTAAGTAATTGTTTTTTGAGTTCCTTATGTTTTGCTAGAATGGCAAGAATTGTGATTTTTGAAAGTTTTTTAATCTCTCTAACTGTTTTTTGCAGTTTGTTTGTTGAACATTATTTCTTTTTTTTTTAATTCGAGAATTTTTTTATTTGAGTTTTTTATGTTTTTCTATATGTTTGTATTTTTTTGTTTTTTTGCTCAATATTGTGAAAAGCTTCTGACATTTAATTAAATTGAATAATTTCTTTTGCTTTGTTTTTGCTTTTTTATACATATAAATAGAAAATTTCTTTAGACAGTTTTTAGTCTTCCTAACTTTCTTTATCAGATTGAAATTTTTTGAGTTTTTATTGAAATTTTACAATTTTTTTATAAGTTGAAGAATTTTTTCGTATTTTTTTGTAAAATGGTACTTTTGAAAGTTGTTTAGGGTCATACTATAAGAAATTTACTATAAGAATTTTCAATATCCAGATTTTTTTAAAATTATTAAGTTTGTAATTTTTCGAAAATTTTTGACTAAATTATTTAAAGTTTTTAAAGAAATTATGTAAAAATTCGAAATACTATGTAACCCACATGCACACATTACGGACTATTTTGTCAAATTTGGGAACGATTTTGATTGTATTGACATATGTGTCTGAAAAAATACTTCTTTACGGACTATTTTGGATAACTTTACAAACAGTTTTGTTTAATTTACAGACTATTTTGTTCTATTTTTAGTTTTTTTTGTAATTATGTAAAAATGTGTAATATTATGTAACCAAAATGCACACTTTACGGACTATTTTGGATTACTTTACAGACTATTTTGCTCAATTTTCGGACTATTTTAGAAAAAAGACAAGTTTTTAATGTAATTAAGTATGTAAAAATCTGTAATATTATAAATATAATCAACATACACACTTTAAGGACTATGTATTTTGTCAAATTTACTTTTTTGTTGACATATGAGCTTGAAAAAGTACTTTTTTACGGACTATTTTGTCAAATTTGAGACGATTTTAATTATTCCGGGAAGTACTTTTTTGGTGACTATTTTGGATTACTATACTATATTTTTTTACATGATAAAATTTGTAGTAGAATATCGAAATATTTTTTTGTAATTTTACTTTTTAATCCAATTTTTTAGCCCCCAGTGCCTGTCCAGAAATGGGAAAACGTGCTCAACGCCAGCCAAGACAGCCCCCTGTGCCCCCAACCGACTGACGACCCCACTTCCGAAGACTGTCTTTCCCTCAACGTCTACACCACAAAAGTACCAACCCAAAAATAATAAAAAAAACCCTAAATCGGCCAATTTCTAGCTCCCAAAGGGCTCCGATCAGCCCAAACGCCCCGTCATCGTCTTCATCCACTCGGGGGGCTTCCACAGCACTGGGGCTGCCAGCAACTGGCTGGGCCCCCAATACCTCCTCGACCACGACATCGTTCTAGTCACTTTCAACTACCGCCTCGGGTCTCTCGGCTTCCTCAGCACTGGGGACAAGGAAGCCCCCGGGAACAACGGCCTCAAAGACCAGGTTTTGGCCCTGAAATGGGTCAAAGACAACATCGCGGCGTTCGGGGGCGACCCCGACTCGGTGACTTTGGCCGGGTACAGCGCGGGGGCTATCAGTGTGACGCTTCATCTGGTCTCACCCCTGTCAAGGGGGCTCTTCCATAGGGCTATTATCATGAGTGGCTCGGCGCTGGGCCAAATGCCAATCCCCACCAACCAAATGGATTTGGCCAAAAAGCAAGCCAAAATTTTGGATTGTTCAGATGACAGTTCTGCCAACATTATTAAATGTTTGAAGACGAAAACTGCAAATCAGTTGGGGGAATCCCAGAGGATGTTTCTGGAGTTTGGGGATGATCCGGTTGTGATTTGGGGGCCGGTGATTGAAGGGGATTTTGGACAGGAGAGGTTTTTGACAGCTCATCCTATTGAGTTGATTCAAAAGGGGGAATTTGCCAAAGTTCCTGTTATTTTGGGGGTGACCACGGATGAGTTTGCTGCAAGGGCGTTCAGTAAGTAAAAAATAATAATAAATAAAAAATAAAAAAAATAATAAAAAAATATACAGGGTGACTTTAGAGAAATGGGAGGCGGTGTAAAATTTTTATCTATTGCCCAATTTTAAAAATAAAAAAACTAAATATAGTGGCTTTTAATGTAAAATAAGCTAAATTTTTTTAAAAATTTTATGGTATATTTTGGGTTATATTTAATTTTCTAATTCTAAATAGGGATCCAAGTTTGGAAGATGTTACTTTTGTGGTATAGAAATGTGTAATATGTTTTACTTTTAGTAAAAAAATTATCAAAATTAAAAAAAAATTAATAAAATTTAGTTGTATGGTTTCAAATAAGACAATGCTCTTATTGTATCAAAAAACAGGGAATGAAAGAAAAAATTGCAAATATTTATTTCACCCTGTGGAAATCCTCTAAAATCATGACCTTATTTCGCGCCATTTAAATTTTTCGACCAAAAAATAACAATGTTTGGTTTTTAAAAAATTTCAAAATTTTAATACTTTTAATTTAATTTTTTTTTGATGTGATGTCTTAGGCGTTTTTTATTCTTTTCTTGTGTTTATTATCAAGACTGCGCTAAAGACCAGTTCAAAAAGTTTGATCAAGTTGTCAAATTTTTTTTTAAAAACGACAAAATAAGTAAAAAATGTGTTTCTGATTTATTTTTGGGAAAAGTCGAAATCTTGACAATAAAAATCAAAATTTTGACTTTGTATTTACAAGGTCGGGAAATACGTCTTTCCAACCCTTGACTGGGAAGTAATTTATGTAGGATTATTAACAATCACAATTTTATAGCACTCTAAAATCATGATCTATTTCGTGATATTTAAATTTTTTGACCAAGAAATAACATTGTTTGGTTTAAAAAAAAATAAAGAAAATTTCAAAATTTTGATACAAATTTTAATTTAATTTCTTGCTGTTGTGATGTTTTAGACGTTTTTTTATTCTTTTCTTTCTTTTCTCGTGTTTATTATTAAAATTGCGCTAAAGACCAGTTTAAAAAGTTTGGTCAAAATGTCAAAAAAATTTTCAAAAACGGCAATATAAGTAAAAAATTTGTTTTTGGTTTATTTTTGGGCATGTCTAAATGTAAGAAAAGTCGAAATCTTGACAATAAAAATCAAAATTTTYACTTTGTATTTACGAGGTCGGGAAATACGTCTTTCCAACCCTTGACTGGGAAGTAATTTATGCAGGATTATCAACAATCACAATTTTATAGCACTCTAATTTTTGTTGTTTTTTTTTTGAAGGCAAAAAAAGCTTATTAGTTTAATAATTTTTGTTCACCTTGTATAAAAATGTAAAGATTTGTTTACATATAGACTAGAGATAGAAAAAATAAAGTTCAAAACGTTTTATAATTTCTAAATCATAAAACTTTGATTTAAATTAAACACAAAAATTGGAATCTTGGAAAAAATTAACACTTTTATTATACAAGGTGTTAAAAAATGATTGTAAAATATTTAAGGAGGTTATTACCTCCTTACTATTGTATAAACCAAATTAAAAAAAAGTCTTAATAAATATGTGTTCTTAAAGTAATGGTTTCAGAGATATCGAATGTAAAAATTTTCAGAATCTTTACTAGAAGCTTTTTTATTAATAGATTACAAATAAATGTTTCAAAAAACGAATAATTTTCGATTTATCTAAAACCCTTACTTTGCGGATATATATTTATTAAAATTTTTTTGCTTATTTTGATCCATACTATTACATTACTAATATTTTACAATTTTTTTTAACACTTTGTATAAACTGACATACGTCAAAATACAGGGTAAAGTTTAAAAAACGGCAGGGACCGCAGAATTTTTATTTATGGCCTGATTTCAAAAATTCAAAAACTAGATTAAATGGCTTTTAATATAGCATAGGTTGACAATTTTAATTTTTTTCTAAATGTTACAGTGTGTTTTGGGTTATAATCAACTTTCAAATTTTAAATAGGAACCCAATTTTTTTTTCTTGGTACAAACATGTGCAATATGTTCTAGTTTTACTAAAAATTATTGTTTAAAAAATTTGAAAAAAAAAACAAAAAAATAAGTGTCAATAAAAATTGACGTTAGCAATGATATTAAACAAAATATTAGTAAACAAAATAAATAAATAAATATTATAATTACACTAAATTAGATATTTTTATAATTTACTATAAGTAATTATTATTGCTATTTTTTAATTTGAAAAAATATTGGCAATATTGTCTTTCATTTGCTGCATTTTGACATTACATTGTTTTATTTGCAACTAGATTTTACTAACTATTAATTTTTTTAAACAACATTTTTTGTAAAATTGAAACATATTTAATACTTTCTAAACTGTGATGAAAAAATATGGGTTTCAATTTGAAGTTAGAAAGTTAAATAAAGCTCAAAATATACTATGACATTTAAAAAAAATCTAAAATAGCCGCTTTATGCTATATTAAGAGCCATTTAATTTATTTCTTAATTTTTTTAAATCGGGTCATAAATAAAAATGCTTTTGGACTTGCCGTTTTTATAGGTGCACCCTGTATAAAAAACTAAAAAAATTTTTTTAGATGTTTTGGCCAACGAAACCTTGAAGAAGCAGATGAGTGAAGACTTCCACAAGGTCGCCCCCATTGCCTTCCTCTACGAACACGATTCGGACAAGTCGAAGACCATCAGTGATGGTCTTAAGAAGTTTTATTTGAATGACAAATTGGATAACTCGTCTTTGCCCGGTTTGGCCCAACTCTACGCCGACGCTTTGACCGGTTTTGGGGTCAATAGGGCCGCAGAATTGCTCTCGGAAAAAAACAACGCTTCGGTTTATTATTACAAATTTAATTACAAGGGACGTTATAGCCACTTTTACCTACCCTCAAGCAACGGAACCATCCCCTTTGGGGTGGTGCACAACGACGATTTGATCTACTTGTTCTACATCCAGAAATTGTTCCCCATTTTCAAAGACACGGACCCAGAGGCACAAACTGTCAATAAAATGGTCTTGCTTTGGTCGAATTTTGCCAAAACTGGGTAAAAAACTGACAAAATTTTGTTTTTTTGGTAATTTTCTTTTCAGAAATCCGACTCCTGAGACTAGTGATAAGTTGGACAGCACCAAATGGGAACCTTACAGTACCAAAAGCAAGAAATATCTTGAAGTTGGTAATAAGTTGGTTCTTGGGGAAAAAATGAACGAGAAGAGATACGAGGAGTGGGCAAAATTGTTCCCTTTGAGCCAATACACTGAGAAGAAATCGTAATTGGATGGTTTGAGTGTGAAATTTTACATACTTACTTGGATTTCGTGAAAAGTCTGCATAAATAAAAGTTTTTTTACTAAAAGTGCTTGTTATTATTTTTGACCACAAAAAAAATTAAAAAATGGTAATAATAAAAGTTT